TATTCTAGCGTGGCAAATACTAACTTTAGTTTTATTATTTAGGTTTATTAAATCCTAAAAAGCGCTACCAGACCCCTGCCCTTAACTAAGTGCCTGTTTATATAAAGTATTAGTATTATTATTTATTAATAACCTTTAAGTATGTGCCTTTAACTATCCACACGAAGCCTATAACTATAAACCCTTTTAGTATTTTTTTTTATGCTATTTTTATAACTATCTTTTTTATTTATAGTATTTATAGTATTTATACTAGTAGTAATAATAAGGACTATAAGCTTACTACCTTAGCCCTAGCCTTAGCCTTAGCCTTAGCTTAAAAGGGTAATAGTTCCTATAATCCTATTTATTAGGTATATTAAAAAAAATATATAAATACATGCAAGGGGGCAATTATAGTTTTAATATTAATATAACTAAAAATATAAAGCTTAATAGCTATTATTATAATATGGTTATTCCTAAATAATTTATTTATAAGGGGTGTTAGGTTTTTTTATAAAATTATTTTAATAAAAAGGTTATAAAGCAGGCTTAGTTATTACCCTAAATAAAATGCTATTTAGTATATATAATTTATTATAAGCCTGCCTAAAATACTAGCTAAGTATTAGCTATAAAAATAGTAGTTTTAATACAAGGTCTTCGTGAGTTATATATATAAATAACTTAAAAAATAAAGCAGGATAATACTAAGGATACTAAAATAACTAGGTATTATTAATTATAAAAACTAGTAAAGGCTATTAACCTTTAGCCTAATACTATATTTAGGTTAGGGTATAAAGTTATTTTTTTACTATTTTTTAATTATTTATACTATTAATTTTTTTGGTTTAGCATGTGTAGCTTAACTTTTTAATAATTTTTTAAATTTTTTACTTAAAAACCTTCCCCTCCCACTAAACCATAAATTTTTTTTTTTTTTTTTTTTTATATTTTTTTTTTTATATTTTTTACTGCTATTTTTTTAATTACTACTATTATTATTATTATATCCCTTATGTTTACCGCCCGCGCACTTAATAATACCTATTATTTTATTACTAGCATGCTATATTTAAATAATATTAATATTAGTAAGAATGCTAAACCATGTATCACGGCCTAAATTTAGGGCCTAGACCTAGGTTATAATAAATTTATTATTTATTTTAAAAAAAAAGTGCCTTTTAATATAAACTACTAAAATTACTAGTGTTATAAGTTTTTTTTTAAAGCTATGGCCTTTTATTAAGGGCAGCTATTAATAACTAACCATACTAGGGGTAATTTTATTTTTATTATATATATAAAATTTTTAACCCTATAAGTTTTATTTAATAATAAATATATATTATACTAACTTGCTTGCTCCTGTTTAGTATTCCTAGTAATTTTTTTAAGCTTAAATATAATATGCACTACCCCTTAATATACCAGGTAATAGTTACCTTTTTTAGCTTTTTTATTAATTAAGTTACTAATAAAAATAGTTTTAAGGTGTGGATTATTAAAATAATAATATATAACTATAATTAAAAATATTTAACTTTTTTATTTTAATTTATATTATGTTTTATATAGCCTACAAGATTCCTTTAATTAATTACTTAGCTTATTTTTTAAAGCCTACTACTAGTTAAATACTAAAGTTTACTAGTGCTTTAATAAGCTTTTTTTTTTATAAGGGTATATACTATATTTATATATAAGCCTTTATAATTTTATTTTACCCCTTTACTTTTAGTATTATTACTCCCGGGCATGGTAATAATATTATACTAAGAAAGTATAAGCATAAGGTGGCTAGTAATAATTACCCCCTTGTTACTAAACTAAATCTTAATAATAATAGCCTTAATATTCCTAGTAATAACGTGTTAATAAATAATACTACCACTAGTATTATGCCTATAAATAATACTACTACTATTAAAAATAGTATTGCTAAGGCCTTTACTAATAAATACCTTTTTTTTTCCTGGTTTAATTTAGTATCTTAATCCTAGTTTATATTAAAGGCTATTTTAATAATATTAGCAAGGCATAAAAATAAGGTTAATTTTTTTTTAGGGCCTTTAGCTTTAAGTTAAAAAAATTAAAAATAAATTTATTTAAGTCCTTAGGATTTAAGGTATTAGGATCTAAATTTAACCTAAATATTAATAAATCTATAAATAAGGCTCCCCCCGTAAAAAAGAGGTTTAAAAATAAAAAGTAGGTAATTATTTAGTAGTACTTAGTTAATATTATCCTAGTGCGTAATAGTAAAGCATGGTATTTATAAAAGGTATTTTTATTTTTAATATTATTTAATATGTTATTAGCCAACTAGCTTAAAAAAGTTTATAAACTATATATATAATAAGCTTATATCTTAACTTTTTTTTTATTCCTAAAACTATTTATTTTATTTACCCTATTTACCTCCGCTTCCTTTACTTAAGTATTTAAGTATTTAAGGGTTTAGTCTTTTACTATATAGGCTTTTACTAAATAGGCTTTTACTAAATAGGCTTTTACTAAATGGGCTTTTACTAATAGGCTTTTATATTTAGGCTTTTTTTTTTAGGCTTTTTTTAGGCTTCTTTTTTAGGCTTTTATTTTATTAGTTTGTGCCTTGGTATCTTTTAATAATAAATGTTTTAGTATTAATTAATACCTAGGCTAATATTAACTTAATATACTTATTTTTTAACTTACCTTTTTTTTTTTTAAACTTTGGTCTGTCCCTGTGATTTATTATTATTAGTTTTTAAATAAAAAAGTAGGTACTTAGCTTTTAAGAGGTGCACTAAAGCTTAGTATTTAGTAGTAAATTATTTTAATATATTTAAAAAAGTATATGCACGGTAGCTTTAATACTAATACTATAAGTAATACTAATATTAATATTAGGCCAAGTTTAATAGCCCTAAGGTGCTTTTAAAAATGCTTTTTAAGTAGGTATCTCCGCCTAAGTTGCTCCTAAAGGCATATTTTAAATAAATTATTTAAGTAGCAAAAGCACTACCTAAATAGGTGTTTAAGTGGTATTAAGCACTGCCTAAACAGGTGTTTAAGTGGTATAAAGCACTACTTAAATAGGTATTTAAGTTATTCCTAAAGGCGCTACCTAAATAGTACATGCATAGCAGCTTTAATAATAATTTTATAAGTAATTTTATTATTAATTTTAGGCCAAGCCTAATAGCCCTAAGGCACTTCTAAAGGTGCTCCCCGGGCAGGTATCTTTACCTAAATTACTTTTAAAGGTGTATTTTAAATAGGCTATTTAAAATGCTCCCGGAGGAGCTTTTTAAATAATAATACTTAAATATTATTTTTAGGTGTGTTATTTTAAGTAAAGCCTATTAAATACTCCCGTAGGTATATTATAAAAAGGCTTTTTTTAATTAGCTTTTATAGGCGCAATTTAAGCAAGGTTTTAAATAATTTTTATAATATTTTTTTTACTATTATAGTATGCTTTAGGTTAATTTAGCCATTATTTAGGTTTATAATTTTTTTTTAGATTTTTTACTTAATAGTTTGCTTTAGGTTAATTTAACTATTATTTAGGTTTATAATATTTTTTAAAGGCTTAATAATTTACTTTAGGTGCTTTGCCACCAGCAGGTTATATTTTTTTTTAAAGGTTTAAGGCTTTAACCTTATAATATTATTTTTTACTTAATAAGGCTCCTAGGTCCTACCTTACTATTATAGTAAATTAATTTAATAAACTAATTTAATAAAAATAGTATGTAGTATGTGTAGTATATATATAATTATTAAAATAACAGGTAATATAGGTACTAGTATCCTATAATTATTAAAATAAAAGGTAATATAGGTATTAGTATTTTATATTTAAGTAAATAAGGCGCCCTTTATTTACTAGATATATTATTTAAAATAATATGTAATATTTTTTATAATATATAGCCCTTAATAGTACTAGCTATATTATAGGGGCCACCTTTAAGTTTAAATAAGCTAGTTAAGCTAAATCTCCCCTGGGTAAGAACTAGCTTATATTAATATAAGGTATTTAAAATATTTAAGCTTTATTTTTTTTATACCCTTTTTAAGGTTAATAAAGTATATTATATAGTAAGGTTACCTTAATTCTTACTAGCTAAAATTAATCCTAAGTATTAGTATTTTAATAATACCTATGGTATACTATTAAATATTATTTATTAGTAATATTAATTAGCCCTTAGTATTTTTTTAAAGTTATTATGCATAAAGGCTAAATACTTAAGATTTTTTACTTAGGGTACTACCTGTAGCCTATATTAAAAGTATTTTTAAATAACTTTATTTAAGTTTATACTTATAAATAATAAAAAGCTTTAGCTTAAAGTCTTAATAGCACTGCTTTATTTTTTTTAGGTATTACCTTTTTTTTACTTAATAGTATATAATACCCTAAAGAAAAGAAAATAAAATTAAATTTTTAGCCTTATAATCTTATTTAAAAGTAGCTCCCGCGGCCTATAACTACCTAGTATAGGTATTTAAATATAATATATATTTTTTATAGGCAGGATAAATTAACTAACCCAGGTTAATAAGTATATAACTAAATATTTATTAAATATTTTTATTTTACTGGACCCTAAGGCCCGTGGGTAGTTTAGCCACCTTTTAGTAGGTGTTTATAATATCTTTTTATCCCCTAGTACCCGTGGACGTGTATTTATACGGTAAATATTTTTTTAATTTACAGTTTTTTAATAAATATGTCCTTATTTATATTTATTTAAGCTTTTACTTGCGGCCAACAATCGGGAAGATAAGGGCCGCTAATGGCGCCTACGGCGCCGCGGCCGGAACCGCTTGTATGTATTAGTTCACATACCGAGATAAATAGAATGATAAACTCCGTACGCCGCCCCCCGCCTCCCTAAAACCGACTTGCGATACGAAGAGGGGAGACACATCCAGCCACACCCAAACAAAATACGAGCACGGGCGGAGAAAGTATAACCGAGAGGGGAAAGCGAAGCGAAGCGAACCAACATTTATTTTCACATCTGCCAGCTTCCATTTCCCTGCGGCATCCAAGCGGGCATCCCATTCCCGGTCCCATTCCCACCCCCGCTCTCCCCGGCGCCGCCCATATTCCCGAAGTCGAGATTGAGGCCCAGCGAGTTGAAGAAGTGGTCGTCGAGGCCGACGCCCAGATCGGGCGCGTACATGCCCATCCCCATGCCCATGCTCATCCCCATCGTACCGGGGATCGTGCTGTCCATGGGGATGCCCATCGTCATGGGCATGTTTGGGTCTGTGTAGTAGCCCGGTGCGAGGGTTGCGGCTGTGTTGGGGGGTTGGGTTTGCGGGTTGGGTGTTGTAGTTGCGGGGTCGAATTGTGGTGGTGGTTGGGCTGGGTAGAATTGGCCTTGACTTTGAGAGTAGGAAGCCCAGGAGGCGGAGTCTCTGGTGGGAGGGTTTGGATTTGGGTTTGTGCTTGTGGTGGGCGTTGGTGTTTGTGCGGGGAGTTGTGAGCTCATGGGAGCGGGGAGTCCCGGTTGGGTTATGTTGGTGCTGGTATTTGCGCTTTGGTCTGGGGAGTTATTGGGGAAGCTGGGACCGGAGGTGCGTGATTTTGCTTGCTGGTATTGTTGTGGTTGGTTCTGGTTTGGTTCGCCGGTAGAGACCTCGCTGAGGAGGTGGAGAGGGGTCGGGGTTTTATCCTGCGGTTTTGATTGAACCATTGCCTGTTATACGATGATCAGAGATGAGAAACAGCGTAAGACTTGATCAAGACAGAGGCATACCTGATTCGTTTCCTGTCCGGTCTTCTCTTTTGCGACGTGAGGCGCGGACCTCGACAATATATCCTGCTCTTTGCGCGCCTTGAACATGCTCCTCAGCATGGTCATATGCGTCGTGAACTTGCCCGGCGTGACGCCACCTGCGAGGGATCCGGCAGCGGTATAGTGCGCAATGACCTTATCCATGTAACATTCCACATATAATGCTTTAGGGTCAATGACCTGTCCTATATACGAGTCTGGCGCGGTCACGATCGAGTACAGCTTGATTAGCGAGACGAAGGAGTATGTTGTCTTGGCAAGCACAAAGGTCGGCAGGTTGATTAGTTCCTTCGGTGAGATGGCCACGACGATGTCTAGAGCTTCGTGGATGGCTGAGAGGGTCGAGCTCAGGGCCGTCACGCGAGCGGCTGCGGTAGGGTCTGTAATGTCGGCGTGTTTGGGCTCGGTCTCGCCGAAGGGGTCGAGTGCCATGGCATTTTCGTGAAGGTAGATGGTGACGATGGCTTGCGCTTGTGACATCAAACCTGAGCAGTTAGCACCGGCTGCGTATCCTTCGGAAGGATGAGCTTACTCGAGTCGTATTTACTGAGCGCTTCTCTTCCCCAATAATTCAGTTGCTTCTCGAACGCTCTTATAGTGAACAAGGACTTGGGGTCGGAGTATGATAGACTGCCCAGCTCGTCGGAGAAGAATCGCGAACTGATATCCTCTATAATTCTCCCCAACTTTGCCCAGTGTACCATTTTCTTATCCGAAGGCAAAGCATCTGGCGAGTTTTCCAAGATCTCTACACACTCGTCCATATACGGGAGCCATCGAACAAGAATCGGTCGTCTCAGTGCGCTCGACACCCTGTAGTTGTTAGCTATCACTTGAAGAGACACCTTTTCGCAGTCGAGTACGTACTGGGCAGTTATAAAGTAGCACGCCAGCCAAGTCCGTCGTACCTCTGCCGAGTCGGGATACGGAATCGCGGACTGCTTCGCAAATTCACGAATCAGGGTAAACGGCTTTTTCTTTGATTTCGTGTACATTTGAATATCCATCCCCATAGACACAGCCAGCTGCGCCAATTGAAAGAAATTGATCTCGTCGTAATTCTCAGGGGGTCTGTAAAAAGCCACTGCTAGAAGTATTCCCTGCATTAGGTCAAGTGACTTCTGGCCTTTCACAAACACCCGCTCCGCCACTGTCCTGTAGAACTCTACAAACACCGTATGCTGCGCGCCCGGTTCAAACGGCCCCATGGCAATGGCGACAATGGCGTGGAACAGCATTGGCTTGTTTTTGCGAACTTCGTCCATCTGCGTGCCAGGTGGAAAAACCACCATCGGTACGTGGGTGGACATCGAATCGACATAGCGCTTAAAGGAATCCGAGGCGACAGCGTAGCTCACGAGTCCTCTATTGATGACATCAGGGTCAACAGCGGTTTCCTTCGCGCCAGGTTTCGAGGAAGACCAACCCGTCCACGGAGCAGGCCACTTTCTCCCCGAATTATCTGTATTGTCCGTCGCGGGGCTAGGGTTGCTAGCTTGCGACGGCGTGGACTGCGTAGCAGTTGCATCCCGGTCCTTGTACTCCCCGCCATGATGGCGCTTGTTTCCCGAGGGCCCTGGTCCTGAGGGGACGGAAATAGAACGATCAGAGTGGCTCTGCCCTGGCACCAGCCAGCGACGGCCCATATTCTCCTCGCTTCTTAGGAGCGATGAAGAGGAAGCTTGCGCGGTGTTCTTTGACGGCAAGAGCGCATCAACCTTCTCCTTCTGCGTGGCATGCAGCGTGGCCGTTAACACATCAATCTTGCGCTCCAGCTCCGAGACGCGGCTATCTGTCTTCTTCTGGCGCTTCCGACTCGGAACCGTCACGATGCATGAACGGCCGGCTTTGGCGCACCGCTTGCACGGGTTGTCTGGGTTGGGGTCGGGCTCGCATCGGACTTTCAGCTGCCGGCAGGATTCACAGGCGCGCGGTCTTTTAGGGTCCGAGTTGGGATCATTGGGATCGTACTCATGCTGTGGTGAAACGTGGGCGCGGTAGACCGGCGAGGGATCCCCTGTATAAGCCAATTGCGCCGATTGGGCGTGGTGGTACGGGTTCAGGGCTGTCGAAGCCAGGTGTTGATGTAATGGCTGAGAAGGGGGCTCGGGGTATTCGGAGTCTATAGGCGAGAGAGTAGATGCATTAATTCTTGGTGTTACACGTCAAACTGCTTGTTGAAGTATAAAAGCCTTACCTGATTCCGCGCTCTCGGAGCTGGTCTCACCCCTGTGTAATCGCGGATCAATCTCCATCGATTGCGGGGACTGTGGGTATGCATGTCAGCGGTCAGCAACTCAAGCATCGTGGCGAATTCAAGCAGCCGGCCAACTACAAAAAGATACACCGAAAGAGCCGAGCGCACAGAGGGCGCGGTCGGTTGTAGCGTACCTTGATCGCTTGCGGAGTGTCAGCTATTAATATACTGTCCGGACGCGGTGGGTGCAAGGCGCGCTGTGTTGTCGGGGCACGGTGGATTCGGTCTCCGACGGCCGACCGGCAAGTTGCAGCCGCAAAACAAAGCTCGATGGAGCAAACAGAGCTCGATAAAGATGACGTCCAGTCGCTAGGATGCCCAAGATGACGAAGGAATGCTTCCAGAAGCTGCGCTGTCAAAGTCCAAGACGCCCTTTGAACCTTTGGAGGAACTTCAGGATGAAAGAGGTTGAGTCAACGCGAAGAGAAAGTTGTAAGTGGATCTTCGCGCCCAGCAGCCAATTAAGAGTTCTGGCCCCAGGCCTTCCAGCGACGCACACCTACGGCTGCCTTACAGCCACGGCATACATTCTACAGTATCTCAGTCCAAGGGGATCTGCGCTTGCAACGCGATAATCATTCGTTATGACTGCCATCAAATGCCGAATATGCCACGCCGATGTAAACACCAACGCGAAGAGCAAAAAATCAAACCATCGATTGGGGAGGCTCTGGGAAAGCAATAAGAAAACGCCGGCTTAAACGTAGAGGGGATCATATATAGCCAAAAGGTCAGGAAAACAACAACAGTCATCCATAATATAAGCCAGACGGCATATGCGAGCGGCTGTCTAGGACGTCTTGTGTACGGGACACTCTTTCTTCCGCTCAAACCACTCCACGATGCACCTCTTGTGGAACCTGCACAGACACTCGAGGCGGACAAGAGACTGCCCAACCTCGTACTCTTCCATGCAAATCGTGCATTCTTGTTCTGTCCCATCTTGCCCGACGCAATCCTTCTCAGTCGCGGTGAACGCGAGCATCCGTACAGGAAGCGGGGACTGTGAAACTGGAGTTCCGCTCGGCGGGCGGCCGTGGTTCAGAATGCAATCCCGAATATGCGCTTCTCGAGCATCCTCATTTCCATTCGCGCCAATAGCCGGTAGCTCATTGTCGCAGATTGGACAGAGGTCGCACTCATCCACCTGCCGAGAGGATCGCGACGAACCGCGCTGTCTGCTCGAAGATGGCTCAGGTTGCACAGCTGGAGCATTCAGTGAGCTTGTCCTGTGATAGTGAAACGAATGTCTCGACGCGTTGAGAGGCGGTAAATGAGAACTTGAAGCTGAACCATAACTTAGAGGACGGCCCTGGAATGAGGAACCGTACGAGCCACCGAAGCCAGTGAAAGCAGGGTAGTCACTAGACCCCACGGTCCTACGGGAAGGTCTAGATGTGAAAATATCCGGCTGTGTTCGTCAGTCTCCTGCTATTCTTCTCCAAGGGGTAGAGAACTCACAATCGAGCCATGATGTTGACGAGATGGAGTGGATAGCGAGTGATATGACCGATGCCGCGGCCATTCTGAACCTGGCCCGATTTCACCAGGCGGTCGTACAGGGGGATATCCAGCAGGTGGCTCCGGGTTCGGATCAGGGACACAGGGGTTACATAACCTCACTTCCGCGCCGCCACCTAGAGCTGGGTTCAGGGCCACTGGTGGCTGTGCAGAATCGTCTCTTTCCAGGTTGGCAATCTGCGTTGCGCGTTGCGCAATAGCAGAAGTGCTGGGCCGATCAGAAGCGGGGGGATGGACAATATACTGTCTCGGAATTGTGATCCGATGAGGGGAGCATGACGCGCAAACAACCCGACCGCACTTCCGACAGTGGTGCTTCCTATACCAGAAGCTAAACGTCGTCCGACAGATAGGGCATTCTGTCACCTCCGTATCCGGCTGCCATCGCGGCCGGTTGTAATCCCCATATTGAGTATCCCCACGAGACCATGAGCTCCGCCGGCTGTCGCGGCCCTCGCGGGGTCTTTGAAGGGGCGCTTCTGAAGGTGAAGACGATAGATCGATTGCGGTTTCGTAGGTTGACCCGGGTAACGGCGCGCTCGGCTGTGCGTGTGGTGCTGTATTCAAGATAGACCTGCTATCCATTTCCGCTCTGCTGCTTGACCCGATTCCGAGGGGTCTGGCATAGCTCGCCTCAGATGCCTCCGGGTTGACTAATCTTCTCTTCCGGTCAGGTCCGGTAAGAGTTGGTCTCCTTCTTTCCGTACGCCTATCTAGAAAAGGGCCTTCGCGTGTGCTCAAACTTTCCGAGCTCGCATGGAGCCTCAATCCGGGAGCGGTTGTGAACGAGGGGCCGGAGGTGGACGAAGCGGGATTCGACAATGACGACATGTGCCTCACAAACGGAGTAGGGGAATGCAAACCCAGAAATGCTCTGTTTTCTAAAGCCAAAGGAGAAACCAGTCTCCGTCGTTTGCCCAGCGGGCGGGCATCGACTAGGTGGCGCGACGATTCCAGGGTGGTAGGTCCGGGGAGGTAGAAAACGCCGGTAACGAGTAATCGCACAGTCAACGGATAGTAAATGGTCTAAAAGGAGGCGATGAGGTTCGAGATCGTGCTGAGGAGAGAGAATAGGTGAGAAAGATGGAAAAGATAAGAATAGTTGAGAAGCGTATAACGGTATAAGTCGAGACAGGTCAGGTCAACTCCAAGCGGAGAGTCTCGTGACAGTCACCCAGCGACCGCAAGACCGGTAAAACGCCGCGCTAGATTCGAGCACGGGCCGGTGAAAAGGGATAGAAGCAGAAAGTTGAGAGGAAAGCAAGAACAAAGTTTGTTGGGTGGTAGAAGGCCGAATCCCAGCTTGTTTTGAGCTGCAACAGTGTGCCTGGTCTTATCACCGCCACCACACACAGTGCCCGAAAATTCGCCGCGGGGCGCGCAAACAACAAACCAACCAGCTACCAGCGCCGATGCGTAATCAAAATGGCAGCTAGCTCATATAAATCAGAAAACTGAGACCCAGAGCACCGAGTGACCCCTGCAGGCGCAGAGATCAGAAGACGTGACGTGACTACCGTGACTCCTCCCCTGAACCGAAGTACAGCTGTGCTGAATAATGGCCTACCGCAGGGTGCCCGACAAATGAGCCTCAGTGGGATATTTCGATTTCTACAAAAGATCGCCTTACAAGGATTAGAAGCTTATATTTCTGAATCAATACACGGAAGGCAGCTCCAACAAATACACTGGATAGGCTTTTCCATAAAAGACCAAGCCAAGCAAAAATAACGGTAATGGCTTCGTAAAGGTAACAAGGCAATTATAGATAATCCAGGATATCGCTTCTTTTAAATAAAGATAAGGAGATTCGTCATATGGATATCAACACAGACATAGAAATCCGATACGCTGCTAAGCCAAGAAACATATCAAGAACAAACGCCTCGAGTGCGTATCATGTGTATCGTGAGGATGCGCGAGAGGGTTGGGATCGGTTTCCTTCACTAGGAGTCTCATTCACGAGCTCGGCCGCGCTTTCAGTAAATGACGGTTCTTCGGGATGGCCCTGATGGATGTTGTCTCGGGTACGATGTTGAGCAACATATCCTACGCTGGACGGCCGCTCAGTGCGAGATCGGGCGGTTCTGTCGTGGCCGGATGATGTCGACGCGGATGTAGAGGCAAGAGAGTAGTTTCGGTCGCGAGAAGGCGAGCTGTTTGCGCTGAACGGCAACCGGGCGGAGGGTTGAGCAGGTCGAAGCGAAGAGTCATCGTATTGCTCATCCTCGTTGTGAACCAATTCTCCCTGAGACGCACGCCTTTTGCTTGAGATGGAAGGGGTCTTCGGTGGCAATGGCGGGGTTCCAGTATCACGCTGGGATCCCACGCGGCTAGGGAGTTCTATGGTTCCACCAGAATCGATAAGCGGCAAGCTTAACTGAGTCTCCTCATGTTTGGGATCATCGTTGCCGTCACCTTCCTGAGGCGTGTTGTCGTCTTCTGGAGCGGACTTGTCACGATTTAGACTGTCCTGGTCGCCAGGCTCATCGGTATATGGCTCATGGACATCTTCTCTCTCAGGAATGAGACCAGGCGGGGGCGCTCTTGAACTTCGGACCACTTCGAATCCCTTGCCTTTATCCTTCGTCTTTCCACTGAACAGGTTTCGAAAGAAACCAGTAGCGGAGGAGACAGGCCCTGTGGGATCCGCAGGTCCAGTCTTCAATTTTCGGGTGCCAGTGTGCGAGAGCGGAGGACCGCGAACTCGGTAGTAGAAATCTACTTCACGGACTGCATAATCCTTTCGCGATTTTCGCGGCTCGTCAAAGTCCAGGTCATCCTTCGGTGCAGGGATATAGGCAGGTATGGGCGTGCCCCTTCTGGAGACTGAAGGTCCCTCGATGATATCGTCATCCATTTCTGCATCCCGGAAGAGAGTGGAAGAACGCCTTCTACCAGAGTCGTCCGAAAAGCCAGTGCGTTTACGAGACCTTGGCGGGCGATAATATGGATCTTGTGGTTGCATTGCAAAGATCGGACCAATCTTTGGCGAGTTGCTTCCGGTTGTTTGATAACCAGAGCCCTGGAATCCTCCCAGGGTAGTGGGTGTGTATAAGCCAGCGCTATTAGCCCGGCTGTGGGATCTTTCGCCGGCCTCATATATAGCACTTCCTTTGCTTTCATTTGCTGTCGCTCGGTTAAGCAGTAGAGCTGAGCTGCCCGAAAGACTTCTAGGCCGAGAGCCGTCAAACTGTGATGAAAGTCGGTCGTCAGTATGTGCTAGCATTGCCGCATCAGAAGCCATGCTTTGCCGCGTAACGACGTCACGCCTTGGGTTGCGCCGTGACAATTGACGCATACCGAGGACCTACGAATTTGATTAGTCTTTTGGGGGGGAGTAGGACGTGCAATCCACATACCTTAACAAGGCCTCCACGGGTGGCACCGGCCTCATTACCTCCAGCACCAAGCAGGCGAGCAGTGACTTCAATCAAGGTTTGCAAAGCGTTCAAGAAGAATCCGAAAACGAGAACTAGGCTATGGAGTAAGAGAATAACATAGCCGATCCAAGCTCGGGCGGCTTCAGAGATACCAAGGGATGGAACAAAGACAATGCTGAGTAGTATTGTCAAGAACCGGACGATGGAAAAGCAGATGTGGTAAAAGTTCATAGATGACGGAGCAGGAAAGGGGCGGAATGCTATGATGGTCAAGACCGAAACAACTTCGCAAATCGCCAAAAGGACAATCTGGGCTATTCCTGACGCTTGGACAGCGCCAATCGCCACACCCCGGGCGAATGATATGAATATTGGGATTACGGCATAGGCCGCTGCATCGTCCGAGAAAGTGTTGTATAACGGGCCATACAGAAGCACGGTCGGTAGGTCATCGAAAAGGTATGATCTTGGCCGGGTCGTGACAATTAATCGGATAATCCATATGGAGAAACATATTAATATGAAGATGACAACTCCTGCAAGTGCCACGCAGTACGCGGGAGACTCGCGGGCGGCGACCAGTTGAAAGAAGGAAAGAGAGATAAGCGGTAGAAAGAAGAAATTATAGACGATTCGAATGACATTGCCGACAGTGAATGGCATATTTTTGGCACGGAGGTCCTCTTCCGGGATTCTCGCAAGTTCGCGATAGACCCAGCGAAAAGCGAAAGCGAACTGGATTAGAATTATGATGATCCCAACAATTGAAAGCAGCCAGACCATCATTGCAGGCCAAACATCGCGTGCCCCGTCCATACCAACATACTTTTCCAACCTATCCAGGCCACGGGTGCCGTTGACGGCATAAACCCCATCAACCACAGGGTCATTCGCGGTTCCAAAAAAGCTCTGGTTGAACATGAGCGATGACCAGGCAGCCTGGCTGACCACCGGCTGGTAGTATCCAGGGTACTTCAACGATAAGGCCCCCGTGAGAACGACGAACTGTATGTATTGCAGGCAGTCTCCGAAGCCGGGAGTCACAAGACGCAGGACGTCTTCATCACGGCCGTAGTTACTCGTCCAACGGAATGGGTCTGTCGTTCCCCATGGGCTGTATATCGCGGCGGAAACAGTGGCCATTCCCACCAATATCAAAATGGCAAGCGGCACAAACGCCAGAGCATCCTTCACAGTAGAGCCTAGGTCTGGAGTAATGTTGACAGATATGCATCCAAGTCTATCAGCGGCTCGGTCGCCGGATATGATGGTAAACGTTGTGTGGAGAGTGGAAAAGTGGTAAGACGAGACCATATCATGGTGAACGGAGAAGGCTCGCAGGGCAGCAAGGTCGGTCCTAATGTTCATTGAAAAGCACGTCAGCAAGGAGTAGTTTGAATGAGCATCCCAGAGAAGGCTCACTCGTTCTTATAAAACACAGGTCCTAGCGGACAATCCCCTTGGGTGACGGAGTCACAAAATCTAGATGCTTCGGAATATGGAGTAAAGCTGGCGACTTGTATAGAAGCTATGAGGGTTGAGTAGTTGTTGTTGTCAACATCTAAATCAATGATTTTCCCAAAGGTTGAATTCGGGTTGTCCCACTGCGCGTCGTTGGGCGCCGGATAGTCAGCGCTTCGGTTCGCAGTACCACTGACGTTGCCGTAAACGATAACATCGAGAGGATACAGCGAGTTTGTCATGTTCAGGGTGACGGCGACATCGAGCGGGACGAACTGCAGTTGTCGAGGATTGGAATCGAGGATGGTGGTATCTAGACAGTTCTCAAACTCAAGAGATGCAGCAGAGGCAAAAGACAAAACCGCCAGCATTACCACCACAACCCATCCTATACCCACCCCAGTGTATGTATTTCGTCGTGGGCGACGCCGAAATGTATCTCGCCATTTTCGTTGTTGTCTGATGGACCGTCCGCCTGAGGTTTGCTTTGATCCGAGCGAACACAAGGATTCATCATTCCATTTCGCGTCGCAGTCCAACGCCATCGCGACCTTTATGTATAAATGGGATGACCCCCTCGGGGAGGCCAGCCCCGTGTCGGATATTCAATCCACGTTGTCTGTGCAGAATCTCCAAAACCCGATTTTTTTATCAATGACGGTTGCCTGATAAGCTCGTGTCCGCAGCACCCTTAGACGACGATGAACCGAGAGGCAAGAAGCTGGATAAGAGATTTCAGCCACCTCCACAGATCAGAACCTGCCCGACAATCCCAAGTTCCAACGAAGAGCACAAGTCGTTCACTCCTAGTTCCCGGCTTGACAGCGAAGGGAGGCGCAGTTCCGGAAACGGTGGGGAGGCAGAGGCTCGATCGGCGAAGGCGAGATAAACGGTGACAGGCGCGCTCGGGATAAAGATGGGTCAAGTCGCAGTTGGAGGCGCTAGACTTGCGGCCGGCGAGACATTATTGGTAAGGAGAAAGGAAAGAAAAAACATTGAAGGTTGGAATGCGAAAAGTGGACGGAAGCTGCGCCAGCATGTTTGCTCACTTTGCTGTTGACCGGGGCGGTGATGGGCAGCCGGTCTTCTAAACTTGGAAACACTTCACCTAAATTTATATGAGCCTCCTCCCAGTGGGCAATCTCACATCCACTCTGTCTCAGACTTGCTCACTCCAGCCACTTCTTCCGGAATCTTTCTACGCCCTTCTACGTAGTTTATTCTTGTTTCTTGGTCGATTTCGAACGTGCCAGTCAGCATCTTGTTAGTTGTTACCCAGCAGCACTCCAGAGCTCTGTCTCGGAAAAACCAGCTGGTTAAGGCAATTTCCAGCGTATCCATATTCCATGCTCTATAAATATGACGCCCTAGAGCTGAGCTGTCACCCCATACCCCACGTATTACTGTCCGAGGCCTTGTCAGGTCATGGTTGAGGACACGAGGTTACCCAAAGTCATCCAGGATTGGGGACGAATCGCTCAGACATTGGCGAAAGAGAACGTCATAGCTTACGGGCGGCGTCTCTAATCACTCGGTGTCGGTCAGAGACGATGATGTGAAATCAACTCTCGATTGGGGACTGTCAATGCAGGGATCTGCCTTGTTTCGGAGTCGTGGATCGTCTTCACAAGGGTTTGAAATACTCATGAGCGCAAGCTTTGACCAAGACCTCTATGCCGGACGGAATAGGCAATAAGCTTGGTTTAGGTATCCAGTCTATGGCCGATTATATGCGGCTCAATGAATCGGCTTCGGGCATATTCTTTATGGTTACGGCTCTCTAACCCCTTGTCTTTGCTATAATGAATTATTTTTGTCCCAACATAATGGTTAAGTTGCAATATCCAGCTGATCTCACTCTGTTCTGCGATAGGAGGTAATGTGGTTGGGTATATATATATTTTTGTACTAGTACAGAATCGCTCCCTATGACAAGCCCTAGCTTTTATAGATAATTCCTGTCGAGTCTTTATACTATGCTCTCGAACCAGCTGGACAGGAACATCTAAATTCGAAAAAATAAAGATGCAATTGGTGTCAGCATACCGCTAGAGCATTAAAGCCAACTGGCTATAGGCCTGTCCTTATACTCCAACAATTGGAAGGTCTACCTTCAATCCCAATTATGTTCTTCTAAAGCACTTGGAGTCGTCAGCGTAGGTCATACCTAGGCTTAATCCGGTGGTTACCGTGTACCCCGTACGTTAGGAGAGATTTGAAACCATATCAATATTACTACTGAGTGAATAGGTCAAGAAACGCCAGAACAGCCACCAGGTGTACATGCCCCTCGAAGTCGCTATCAAACGCACACTAATTGAGCAGCCGCGGATGCACAACAATGCAGCCGGAGTACGTGACGGGGCCACCGGGATAGATGAATTAGGCAAGCCGAAACCAACCCGAGTCGCCTATCATCCCTGCGCTTGTATATGTAACCTGCTCCTCAGTGGAAGAACCGCACGTTTTGCTTGTTGTCCGACAATGTCGTGATTGAAAGACTTCAAAGCTGGCAGCGAGACCGCATCCCCTTCATTGGTGGAGGCATTGCACTTCCAGTATTTGCCATGATACAGATAAGTATGCCTTATTCTGCAGTCAACAATTGTAGAATGCCGAGGTATACTCTGTAATCAAGGGGACGAGAGGTAATCCCTAGGCTACTAGGCTGCTTGCGACCTAGCCTAGCGGAAAGATACACGGCCTGATAGCAGATAGCACGACGATATCTGAACTCAGCTGGAACCACGGCTCCAGGTATATCGTATTGGACGCCTAGAGGCTCTCGAGATTGGTCAGGAACTGGGCCCTTGATTAACCCCAATCGACATTGTTCCCCGAAGTTGAACTACTCTTTGCCAGATGGGCGTTGGAGGCTTGGAGCGGGTGCTTTCGTACGGTCTGTCAATCCATCTCGTGGCGGTTCCTTATCATACCGTAGGGCGACTTGTGGCGCATCCACGTTAAACGCCTGACTCGTTTTCTGCAAGCCTTGGTCACCCCTGAGCTCGAAGATATGGTTCGGTTCGCGCAAATCCACGAGCGCCAAGACTCGAACGTTCAGCTAGGTTCGCAAGGTCCACTGGTGGTTGCAACCTGCATATTCGCTCGTGCGGCGTTGAGCCTGAAAGGGATCCAAACGGAGGTTGTCTGAGACGGGCGTCGACCAGTTTCAGAATGACGGGGGCTTGCCTGCCAATAGATCGCACGGACGGTGCGCGATAGTGGGGCTTGATACTGGATCTGTTCCTCAGATAACTGCTTTGGCGCTAAGACAAGTTACAACACAGGGGTTTCATTTCTTTTTTGGTCCCAGGCCCTCTCACAAGTGCACGTCAGTTTCAGCTTTGCTGCAGCGGAATATTACCAGCAATAATTCTTATAGAAATTTCCATCCGTTGGTTCGGACAACAAAGTTGGTATCTGAGAGTATATATATGCAATTTAATTGGTGTTCCGAACCAAGAGAGCGAGATAGAAACGTATGGGGTGAGGCGCCGTTTGATGGTCTAGCGCCAGCCGCTGCGGGACAGCCTCCGAGGTTCATTTCCATTATGATTCCCATAGCTCTAGCGTGGACTTGAGATGAAGACTCCGACCTAAGATTATTTATTGCATGAAATTGCATTGAACACTTACTGAAAGAGGAGACAAGAGGCCGTGCTCGCCTATATATTTAGGTATTCTAATAATATTATAAATCCGCTGGTCGAAGCTTGAGAAGTGACAATTACTTTGGGCACGTGACCGAGCATCGGGGGATTTGTACCGAGTATATGAAGGTAATAGTGAATTGATGGATTGATATACATGGTCCTACAGACTATTTACCATCCAGTCTCTACTCTGCCCAGGTGTACTCCCGGAAATCTGAGCCCTCAGGAACGTGGTGGCGCTGAATTCTTTGGCGGCAGACTAAAGTCAGTGCAGCCGCGGTCGGGGAGATCGTACTACGTATGCTCGCAGCACGGTTGTCTCCATTCCACTCTGTCCATATTCCCCGGGCGTCTTCCCACCTTCTTTCTCTTTGACTCTCGTTTTCTTTGATCGTTCCTTTTCACATTCCGGGCGCAGTCTTTCGAAGTCATCCTGGTACAGCTGCTGGCTCAGCTCTTCATTCTCGAGTGCTTTTGTCCATCCAAGTACCATCGTGAAGGATCCCCACCATCCTCCGTGCGTTGTTGTCGGATCTGGGGAGTGTTGTTTATCTTCTTGAACCACTCTTGCTTAGTCTCTTCCAGGTACCTCCCTAAAACCCCTCTTCGCCCCTTGACGTTGTGCAATCGCTCCTGCTTGTACACTTCCCGTCTGATCTTCTTGTTCCTGAATGGTCATTGAATAATTGGTCGCGGTAGATCGCTCGTCCCCGACTCCACACCAGACAGCGCAAGCAATCACGCTTGGTGGCAGGAGCACCGTCACCTCTTGAAGAGTTAAGAACACCCGCCGGCCCCGGAGTTTATTCTCAGCTAGTCCAACTCCCCTTTCCCTCCTCCCGCTCGAAGCCAGCCCCCGCTCCGCACAGACAACGCTAGGGGTCGATATCTCGATACGTACCTTTCGTTGCCGCTCTCCCCACCTCTCCTGTTTATCGACCTGGTTATACTGCGTCGTTACGGAAATCCTTATACTCGCCGTTTCCGAGTCTCTCACGATCTCGTCCGAATAGTCCCTGTGTTATCGCGCGGGAAACGCTCTAAGGAGGGCCGAGAACTGTCAACGAGTCTTGACATTATCGCCTTATACACCTGCAATGCGCCATAGTGAACCCGACCTGATTTGAGAAAAAGAAATACTCCTGATATAACCGCCATGTCTGCCGACGATCCTTTCTCCTTCGTGGATACCGAACGCAAACCGGCGAGCAAGAAGGCGCATTGGAGGGATAAACTATTCTCACGGGACAAGCCCAAGAATACTGCCGACCAGCAGGTTGAGGCGTTTCTGGCCCCTGTTCGCTCAAAGTCCCTATCCCATGGTGGGCACTCGGTGTCCACAACTCAAAGGGAAATCCCCGCGCCTCCTCGTTTAGATGTATCCCAGCGGTGGCCGTCACATGAGTCTCAAACCGTATCACCAATCTCCGGCTCATCACCCCCATTCGACGCCCAGTTACCAGCTGTTCCCACACTACCGCCGCTAAAGATCCGGAAAAACAAAGGGCTGAGAGTTAAATTTACCGACGGCGCCCCCGTATGCATCGGTGAAGGCGGGGACGAGTCTGAGGAACCAACCATTGAAATATCGTTGAACCGGAATCGTAGCTATAGTGAGAGCTCAGGTCGATTGGATGGTGCCGACAATTCCCAGTCCGGAGGTCACCAACTCCGACTAGACACATCGCTCAGTGACGGTGGTAGCCAAGGAGGCCGGACGCCGCTGCTTATCAAGAACACGCAAGATGCTGATTTCCTCATGGCATTGAATTTGGGCGAAAGTGGTTCACGCTTGTCTTTTAGGGCATCACCAGGGGCTGATTCTGTTGCCCAACGTGTCCGGGCCAAGATGGAGGTCGAGGAAGGACGTGCGCTGCAGCAGAAGTACGAAGATCCTACCTCTCCGAACGAGCGTACTCCAGAGAGCCCTACTTCATTATATGAGACACCCCAGATCACCGAACCGGAACCAGCAACTCCCCCGAGTCCGCTACGAACTCCTCCGAGCCCCCAAAAGCCGCGCCTCACGAACCCTGCTGATGTCGTGCCTTCATCTGGCCTGCCGCCTATCGGGAACACAAAAACTCTATCGCCTCCGAAGCCTGAACTGTTACGGAACGCCGCTAGTGAGGATCTTCGTCCACCTAGTCGCGAGAGTCCCCTCAAGTCCGCAAGTCCGCAACCACCAAAGTATTCGCTGCGCTCTATTGCAAATCAATTCGGGGAAGTGGCTTTTGTTGAGTTCAAGGAGCATGTAGGACGGTATAAAGACGTGATTGAAGCTTCAGCTGAAAGTGCCAAGCCTTTGATGGAAACGTCTCTCACAGAGTGGGTGAGGGCTGGGGTGTGGTGGTTTATGCGCGGAAAGAAACGATTAGAGGCGTACGCGCGTTCGCGTTCACGGCCGGATTCCCGCTCGTCTCCTGAAATGGCACAGCAGGCTGTGGTCGATCTCGCCAAGGCGCTGTGGATCAACGAGACCATCGTCCCCCAGCACCCGGAGGTAACTCGTTACGGCGCAATGAGCATTGATGCGCTAATTGCAGTTGTCAGTACTACGGGCGATAAGCAGCTGGCGGACCTTCTGGGGGTGTATCAATCCGTGTTGAGCCACTTGCGGTCTCTGACAGTATCTATTAAGCGAAACAATATCTTGTCTGCCGTACACCCGGAGACTCAATGCGACACAAGTGTATGGGTTAGATATCCGTTCTTTGCCCAGGATGTGTCCGCCGTCCTTTCTGGGGCGACGTCGAGATCCATGTTGCTGGACAACAGTGGAAAAGGCCCGACCTTTGTGCAGATGATGCCTCTCGGTGACAACAGCCGCCACTTTAGCTACGGGAATATGTTTGTTGACGTATCTGTCAGCTCGAGCGAGGACGACGATCAGCAGTTTTCCATGCCTTGTGCACTGTCTATTATCCGTGACCGTGCGGACTGGTATGTACTCGCCGCCATCACCAGCCAGAGTGACCTAGTCAATGTGATGATTCAGCCGGACAAGAAGAAGGGGCCGACGTGGGATGACGTTAATTGGCAAGTCCGGACGCACTCGATGAGGGTCAAACTGCCTCGTGGATTTGAGCTGGATGTCATGTTTAAGGAAGACGATTTCAAAATGCTTTGGAACATTGTCAACTACACACTGAAAACAGAGGCTAGCCTGCAGCCAGAAGCCGGTGAATCAGTGATATTTGAGTGTACCTTGAAGCAGTTCCAGTATATGGATCCTGGGACGCCAAAGGCTTTCCCTCCAGAGGCGATTGAGCGTTGTCGCGTTCGGCTATTCGAACGGTCGGTGACCGTGACCGAGGGAACTGGCACTCGAAGTGCTCACCGTGGTTTCCGCATCTCAGTTCTGACGACGCCCAAAGTAAAGACCCTGAGCAGCGTGCGCCATATCTTAGGGCATGGAGCGCCGGTACTGTTTGGGCTCCTACGTGGCGAAGATGGAGCACCGGCCCTCGTTCTTAAGGTGAATGAAGATGGCCGCAGTCGGTCCATGTTGATGACCTTCCAAGAAACTCGCGAGCGGACCAATCTTCACTCGCTACTTCTGGCCATGTTGCCTAAGCAAAGAGAGTTGAAGGTGGCGGACATTCCTCTTCGTGCCTATACCATCGAACAGCCGGCCGACCGGTTCAACGGCCAACCGCCAAAACAACATCTCCAATTTCCTGCAGGTACCGTCTGCGTTATCGACCAGGAACATGACTATGTTGAGCACGGCTACGGCCCAACCGTGCTATCCGAGCATCTGCGGGCATTCATTGCGTCGGAGTGGGGATCTGTCACGGATCGGCTTAATCTTGGTCCTGGTGAACTGAAACTGGGTCTGGATATCAACAATCGAACCGGCCTCAGCCTGTATAGACCGGCGCAGCAAGACTTGACTGTATCAGCGGCTGAGAACCTCATTCCACCGGAGACGCAAGACAAGCTGGCAGATTTTCTGCAAATCGCCATGACTAAGCCGATGATCCGGAGATTCGATTTCATGACAGTCAAAGGTACGCCCTCGCTCGCTTCTTTCGTACCATGCTGACTTTGCAGGGCTGCACGAGTTCGAAAAAGCTGTCACGGGCTTTACAGTGCTCTTCGATAGGTATGTGGGCTCCATTAACTCAGTGCTCTAAGCTAACGGTGCAGTGTCGCTTCCTCCTTCATGATCTCGCGACGCCGAATGGTGGTCCCCATCACCAAGAAATGGGAGTCGACCATGGCTCGAATCCAGATTGTCCGTCAGGATAAGGTGGTCCAGCTGCTAGCATTCCTCAACGACTTTAGTCATGGAAAGTGCTTGAACTTTGTTCTGAAGAGCACCGACATTATCGAAGCCTTCAATCGCTCTGGAAAATACGGAGTCCGCATCGTCGATGCCAAGTTCGCGTTGCCAAAGACCGACGACGACCCGTCTTCTGATTTTGTCTGTCTCGATATGCCCGAGTATCCTAGCGAACATGATGACATTACCATCGCTTTTGACACTGAGGCTGGTAAGTCTTTTGGTTCCAATCGTGTAGTCAGAACTGACGATATAGACCGATTCAATTTTCAATCGGCGGCGCCGGGATCAGTCCGCGAGCCCTCCAGAATGGGCTCCCTGCGGCGGTAGATAGCTTAGCACATTTTAGTTGCTTGGATTGCTATCGAATCTTCGAAATCATGAATGGCTCGCTATCTCGGATGGCTCTCCAATCATCACGCAATCTCCACAGGACCCGCTTCCGCCTATCACGTGCTTCCCCTCATTACGACTCTCGCCCCTCTTCTTTCCCTCTGCAATCTCCAAGTCCACCGCAATGCTGCCGAACGATCAGGAAGTTGGCGCCTCGACGCGCTCACTACATGCAGACGATGTGCTCAATGTTGTCACCGATGTCGCGCCTCCAATCCATGTTGCGACCACTTTCCGCTACTCCGACGACCCAGCCAAGTTGATACCGGCAGCAGATCTCAGTGGGGTGAGTGCTAGGGACGCGAATGACTCAATTTATCGGAAATCTAACAAGCGCAGAATGTCGAGGCAGAATCATCGCATGTGTATTCACGCCTGTCTGCGCCAAACCCGACTCGATTCGAAGCTATTCTCTCGTCTCTGCTCAACGCTGAAGCCATCAGTTACTCATCAGGGCTGTCGGCGTTTCACGCCGCCCTTACTCTGCTGAACCCTCGTCGGGTATCGATCGGCAAAGGATATCATGGATGTCATGGTGTGATTGATATTTTTAGCCGCTTGACCGGGCTCCAGAAGCTGGACTTGGATTGCCCAGCTGAGCAGCTGGAGGCCGGGGATGTTATACATTTGGAAACTCCGGTCAATCCTGAAGGAACGTCTTTCAACATTGCCGAATACGCTAAGAAGGCACATTCTAGAGGAGCTTATCTTATTGTCGACGCGACTTTTGCGCCGCCGCCTTTGCAAGATCCATTCGAGTTCGGCGCCGACCTGGTGATGCATTCCGGGTCCAAGTACTTCGGAGGACACAGCGATGTCTTGTGTGGGGTTCTGGCCACCCAAAACAAAGCCTGGGCGCAGCAATTGTTCAAGGACCGTGTATTCCTTGGTAGTGTAATGGGCAACATGGAGGGTTGGCTGGGCGTGCGGAGCCTGCGAACCCTGGAGGTTCGCGTACAACGGCTGAGTCAGAACGCAACGAATCTAGTTTCGTGGCTTCACAATGCGCTGCAGACGCCAAACCCCGTCGCAGGAAGCGACGAAGAGGCGACTCAGAAAGTGCTCGAGCAGGTCTTCCACTCCAGCCTCCAAAAGGAAGACGAGTCCTGGCTGTTGAAGCAGATGCCGAACGGGTTCGGACCTGTCTTTTCGATCACCATGCGAGAGGAAGGGTATGCGCGCCACTTGCCGAGCAAGCTTGCGCTGTTTCAGCACGCGACCAGCCTTGGAGGCGTGGAGTCGTTGATTGAGTGGCGGACGATGTCGGATAAGACCGTGGACCGGCGGTTGCTGCGGGTTAGCATTGGCCTGGAGAACTGGGAGGATCTGAAACGGGATTTGGTGAATGCGTTCAGAGCGCTGATTAGCTAGATCATCTATATACCTTAGACCTGAATGTCGATGTCACTTACCAAGTGCTTGATTCTATAGTATACCTATTGAACGGTAAACCTCCAGTAAGATAAGAAAGATCCCCGCATCCCCACTTCTCTCAACCTCAACAACTCCTCAATTCTCATCCTCACGACATCCATCAACCTCCCAGCCCAGCCATTCTGTTCGAAAAAAGAAGGACCCCAAAAGAAAGAGTCATGATGTCAACCTTCCAAGTCCACTACTTCGCCAGCGCATCCAGCTACACCGGCAAAAACACTGAGTCGCTGCCCGCCCCGCTGCCTCTCTCCAAGCTCTTCGACACGCTAGAAGCAAAGTACCCCGGCATCAAGGAGAAAGTGCTGTCAAGCTGCAGTATTAGTCTTGGCGATGAGTACGTTGATATGGAGGCTGATGGGAGTGGGAGTGGGAATGAGGGGATCATGATTCAGAATGGGGATGAGGTTGCGGTGATTCCGCCGGTTAGCTCGGGGTGATTCGTTCAGCGCTGGGAATGGGTATGTTCAGCTGTTTCTCTGCGCGCTTTGGTTAGGATGCGCTTGAGATGTGGTGGGTATGACGTGTTTGTGGTCTGTGGTTTGTCAAGGCTAATTATCTGGATAGGTCTGCTTCGCGATATGCACAATGACTCCAGCTCTGCCTACCTTGCGTGGGACAGTTTCTGTGCTTTCTCTTGGATATCACTGAGGCTCTGATTGATGTCGAGGTAGAGAACTGTCTTTGACTACGGATGCCTTAGCTAGACAAATGAGGAGGCTACAGTACGGTACCGTCGCAACATACGCCATCCACTTGAATTTGTCTCTGTGCAGAAGCACATGAATAAAAATAACCTGATGCTCAAAGTCTCCTAAAGGCCCCTTGCGAAATATAAAAGGCTATCAAGCCGAAAGTCCAGCCTCACCACGAACGTACTTTTGCACCTGCACGCTTATTATAGATCGCGATCGACATTACACAGACCATGCATCCGGCGGCAGATGAAATCGCGGGTTCGTCACATCTATAAACAACAACAGGATGATTGGACGGTAGAGGCCGGAGAATTACGCGCCAGACCCTGCAGAAGATCGGACGGGGGTTGTTGGCTGAGGATGCACGGCGTTAAGCGCTGGGCGGGGCGCCTAACCACCATGAGCTATCTATATCGGTTTCATGCTTCTATGGTCCTCTGCTTCTGGGAAACTCTACGGGGTATGACGATGAGCTATGCATAGCAGCTGTGTCTCCACAGTAGCTCCAGCCCCAACAGCCTCACCTTGTTCTAAGTTCGGATACCGTATCCTGGCGCTTAATGATCGGCGTGCATATGGGCCAGTCATCAAAGCTTTCTTCCTCTCTTCTTTCTTTGGATACATGCTTGGGGAGGTCTAGATCGGTGTAGCTATGGCCATACCTGAGGTCTAGATCTAGACCATTCATTTGGAGCTCAAGGTATATAAGGAGCTCATTGTCCGACAAAGCAGAGCAGTTTGAAACAGCCCATTCACGCCTTCACTCTCTGCATCAGCATAGCGGTTCCTTTTCCTTTGCTTGCTTTCCTCGCATTGTCTTGTTGACTCAGTATCTGACGCTCCTTTGACGACTCTTCTTGTATTCATCTACCTCTTAGCTCTCAGCTCCGTTTTATTTGCGACTCTCCTTACGAACGATATATATAGAGCTTTGAGCGTCCCCTGCTGGCACAGGATCCCTTCAACTCACTCCCTACGACTATACGACTATCAAAATTTCCTTCTTCTACCCATCTACGACAATGCCCGCCTACGGTGCCCTCGGGGCAACATTCCTCATCGCCCGCATCATCCAGATGTGCTCGCTCATCGCAATAATCGGTCTAACAGCGAACTTCATCGCCGAGATCGTGCGCTACGACGCGAAACCACCGGGGATCTTCATCGGCACAATCACCGTGGTAGGTCCTACCATACCTTATCCAATATCCCCCCCAATTGGAGGTAGGGTAGCTGTTATGTTAACATGGAACAAATGCAGACCTCCATCTCAACAATCTACACAATCATCACAACAATCCTCTTCATCGACGACATCCTCCCCTTCCTGGCCTCCGGCATCCTGGACTCTCTCTTCCTGATCGCCGTGATCGTCGTCGCCGTGGTCATCGGCAAACCCCTCTCGTACCTCGAATGCGGTGATATAGGGGATATCCTGTCCGGCGGCTCGGACGACGGTTCCTCCGCATATACCTTCGCGACGCACCTAAGCTCATACCTGGGTAACCTTAGTGGCTCAGTCGATTACCGCAGCTGGGTGGGCGCGAGTAAGGGCGTTTGCGTCGAGGCGAAGAGTATCTGGGGGTTGAGCATTGCTATGTGGTAAGTTTGTTTTCCGTTTCAACCCGTTTCTTGAGATTTTGGGGGTGGGTTGGGCTAATGCACACTGCAGTATTATGTTCTTTTTTACGGCGGTCTGCTGCGCTTGTCTTTGGAGGCAGAGGAAGGCTGGTGCTGCGGCGGCTGGGAAGGAGGTTGAGTAGACGCCTAGGCCTTCTTCCCTCTCTTTGCACGCTCTGTCGGGCTCTCTTATTTGACTTCAGACTCGAGCTCAAACCGATATGGTCAATCCCTAAATGGTGGTGAATACGGTGGCGGTGGCTAGTGGACTAATGGTATGGATGAGTGTGCAGTTGAGATGTTATAATCAGCAACATCTATTTATGGCTTGCTTGCTAGCCATTTCCTTTCTCTCTTATATGATTTGTTGTTTGCTTTGCTTCTCTGTTTGTTCTGTTCTCCTTTCGCTTCTGCGATTTTTGCCTCCCCTAATACTCCGTGAGTTGCAAGTTGGGGATATTCAAGCTTGGCAACAGGTACAAATAAATCAGTTGACTGTAATAACTATACAGGTCAATTCTTTTTTTGTAGTCTTGTAGATGGAGTGGAAAGCATCTGCTTGATACCAAGACTTTTCGTAGGGCTGATGCAGTGGATAACTAACACACAGGCTCGATAACAGTAATGGAAGCAGAAATGCAAGGCCGTAACGCATGTATTTCTATCTATACTCATAAAAGACAAAGGAAATTGGGTCTCGTTCTAAAGGCGATATAAATGCGAGTGCCCAACAGCGGGCAGGGTATATAGCAAACAATATAGCGAAGGCCGAAAAAAAGCTGGACGAAAGAAGAGGTTCGCAGACAAGAAATGGTCTTACCATTCCAAGGTTGCGGGCCAGGTACGGATGAAACGAAGGGACACATTCGAACTCGGAGCACCTATTGCTGCCGGCTCATGGCTTCATATACAGCCCAGTGAGACCGAGGGTGGGGGAACTGAGTTTCGACCCTACATCGAAGCGCTTCCACAGGTTCCCCGCTCTGAATACGTGATCCGGCGAGTATGGGAAAATCAGCTTGCAGCGAGGTGCCACTCTCGGCCTAGCCTTTGCGACACGAATGCCCACGGCCAACCGTTTTCCACTTCTGTTTTCCGAAGTAGATCAAGAAGACATCTCCGCGCAAGAGGATCATGAACCCGGGACCCAACTGGACAATATTAGTGGCTTTGAAACTGACAATGACGCGAGTCCCTTACAAGCACATAATGCATGACCCGCCATGACACGGGCAGACGGATCACCATCACTCGACAGGGCAATCCCAAAAAGAATTCCCAGGTTTTTATTCACGTCATCCTAGACCTGGTTAGCGACCGCCATTTCTTCTAAGCTGGACTGCTGTCTTGAGCCCGAGGCAAACGAACCTCTATTGCACGAGCTTCTTGGTTCGAGCTCGAACTTGCGTACATGTTCCGGAGCTCGTACTCCTCTAGCAGAGCCTTTGCCATGCAGATATGCTGCGCCGCGCTTGCTAGGTTCAGTCAGCACAGTTCGGAATAAACGCCTCAAAACCTACCGTATAGCGATTTGGTGTACCAAACAACAGGATAGGGCCTTCCGATTCTTGAGTCAGCAAGAGAGAAATGCAACGGCCGGAACCCATCCGGTTTCCGCGCTTCCCAAGCATTTATCTTGCGCTTTAAGATGCCCCTCTCCGTTGCACCTGTTTGAGGATCGTGTACACCATAACAGTAATTAATGGATCCAGCTAAGAGCCATACCGCTCGATGCGCCCAGTCGCGGTCGGTTTGAGATACACGGTGCGTCCACATCAGTTGTAGCTTTTCGTCAAATGCGCTCAGCTCGAGACGAAGAGGATTCTGAGAAGCCAGCGCAAATTGTATATCCTGCATTACAAAGACCCAGAATGAGGCTTCCGCAAGGCCACCGGACACAGCACAGTCAACGTGAGAGCTTATATACACAGAGCCGGCTAGAAGATGTCGTTGCGAGTCATTTGACGGAGCGTGCGCTATTCTGTGTCAACCTCGTGGTCAGTATTATGGGATGATTTGACATACAAGAGATTTGCTCGAAGAAGCGGAGTATGACGGTTGACGCCAGCAGGATATCGAGGCCTATTCTCGATTCCCAATTCCCAAGGCCTGGAAGTAGTATAGCAATGCATTTTTCGTGATATTCGTCTGCAGTATTCGGCGGAACAAGGTTCGTCGTTTGGGAGAGGTGCCGGGCCGCGGTGGCCAGACATGCGTAGAGTAAAAGAGGATAGGAAGGTGCGCGCTCCACGACATCCATTGTAAATTGTCTTTCGTGGTCGCACGAGTCAAGCTGGGGCAGTCGGGTTAGCGCAATTCTACCAATCAATGGAACGACATACCCAAGGGCCGAGTGTCTTCTGGAAGTGTCGTAGAAGAAATGCTTCATTAAAGTCCGCCACCTTCGGATTGTCGCGGGGAGTCTCAGGTGGCAGAAGCGAGTCCAAAGAAAGAGTTCGCGCATGGGACACCCTGCGCGCGCCACTTGGACCGAATGTTTGAGAAGGAGACGGTATTGAAGGTATGCTCGAAGTAGAAGTACTGAATCGAGCCTTCCGCATTCCTCTGGGAGCGGATGGTGATGCTTCTGCTGAGACAACGTAATAGTCAGAGGCTGTTTGTTCCGTCTCGTCTTCGAAGGACACTGTATCAGTTAGACTCATTTCAAAACATGCAGCTTCTATGCCAAGGCTAGCGAGACACACAGTCAGGCGGCACGCCCATCCAAACTTGATCGTCGGGGAAAGACAAGTCACTTTCACCGTACCGAGGCGGACCTGCGGACCGCATAGATGGGTTCTGACCATGTCGGAAGGTGATATCCTCTGACTTCACTGGGGCGGGAATGCACTCTCGGCCGGATCGTTGACAGCGAAGACACTCAGTTCCAGTCTTATCACCTGTTGTCATTAGGCATTGATCGACGACGAGGGATCAAGAGACTAACATTTCAGGTGGCGTTTACGGCAGGTCAGACTATGAACGAGAACAAGGTTAGAACGAAGGATGCGCGAGGATTCTCGAGACGAGATCATCCCACTTACCAACCCCTCATCACGTTATCGACAGCGCTGTCCGAAGCTAGTAAGAGCCATAGATGAGAGAATCATTAATGCCAGGCGGAGCAACCATGGACAGTATATACGAGAGTCGAAAGAAGCAAACCCATTTTTGAAACGCGATCCAGGGCCCAAAAGTAATATAAAGAGAGATGATGCAAAGGCACTCTCCAGAGAATAAGGAGCACTAATGATGTCGATGCACCACAGTGCAATGTGACAGTGATTGCGATGGGCAAAACAGTGTACAACGGTCGAACTGTGGATGAACCGTTCATGCGAAGTGGAGCCCGTCAAATTAGCATTGATGGCTAGAATAACCGAAAATAGCGGCACTAAACTTGGCAGAGTAAGAGCTTAAGATGAGGAAGGGAGATCGTTTCCTTCAACAGCCCTCCGGCAAGCCTACAGCTTCAGGGGTGTTGCTTGTTTATCTGACGTCCTGCCCACATGGCAGGTACTAAGGAATGACGATGTTCGCAGTGGAAATGAAGCCGAAACCCACCCTCAACGCCCAGGAGTGGCTCGAGCTTGGTGTTCCTCGATCGCCGCTCGTATCGTAGTCCTTGAAGCGGCGGGGACCGCACTGCGATTGGTAGGCTGATGTCCGATCACTGCCCGAACGAGGCAATCCTCACAGCTAAAGATGGAAAACCCGCACACGCCGTTTCGGTTTGTCACTGG